TTTGGCCACAAACCGAGAGGTGAAGGAAGGCCGCGCTCCTTTCACTCCTCGGTTTTGGCCACAAACCGAGAAGTGAAGAAAAGACGCGTTCCTTCCGCCCTTCGGTTGGCCGCTGTCCTTTCACCCCTCGGTTTTTGCCACAAACCGAGAGGTGAAGGAAGGCCGCGTTCCTTCCACCCTTCGGTTGGCCGCGGTCCTTTCACCCCTCGGTTTTTGCCACAAACCGAGAGGTGAAGGAAAGCCGCGTTCCTTCCACCCTTCGGTTGGTCGCGGTCCTTTCGCTCCTCGGTTTTGGCGACAAACCGAGAGGTGCAGGAAAGCCGCGTTCCTTCCACCCTTCATTTGGCCGCGGTCCTTTCACCCCTCGGTTTTGGCCACAAACCGAGAGGTGAAGGAAGGTTGCGTTCCTTACACGCTTCGGTTGGCCGCGGTCCTTTCACCTCTCGGTTTTGGCCACAAACCGAGAGGTGAAGGAAGGCCACGGTCCTTTTACCCCTTGTTTTTGGCTTCAAACGGAGCGGTGAAGCAAGGCCACGGTCCTTTCACCCCTCGGTTTTGGCTATAAGAGCCGAGAGGTGAAGGAAGGCCGCGGTCCTTTCACCCCTCGGTTTTGGCTACAAATCGAGAGGTGAAGGAAGGCCGCGGTCACCTCTCGGTTTTGGACACAAATCGAAAGGTGAAGGAAGGCCACGGTCCCTTCACCCCTTCGGTTTTGGCCACAAACCGAGAGGTGAAGGAAGGCCGCTGTCCTTTCACCCCTCGGTTTTTGCCACAAACCGAGAGGTGAAGGAAGGCCGCGGTCCTTTCACCCCTCGGTTTTGGCGACAAACCGGAGAGGTGAAGGAAGGCCGCGGTCCTTTCACCCTTCGGTTTTTTGGCCACAAATCGAGAGGTGAATGAAAGCCGCGGTCCTTTCACCCCTCGGTTTTGGCCACAAACCGAGAGGTGAAGGAAGACCGCGTTCCTTTCACTTCTCGGTTTTGGCCACGGGAAGTGAAGGCAGGCCGCGGTCCTTTCACCCCTCGGTTTTGGCTACAAATCGAGAGATGAAGGAACGCGCGGTCCTTTCACCCAGAGCTAGAAAGAGGCCGCGCTCTTTTCAAATTTCGGTTTTGGCCACAAACCGAGAGGTGAAGGAAGGCTGCGGTCCTTTCACCCTCGGGTTTGGTCACAAACAGAGAGGTGAAGGAAGGCCGCGCTCCTTTCACCCCCGGTTTTAGCAACAAATCGAGAGGTGAAGGAAGGCCGCGGCCCTTTCACCCCTCGGTTTACGCCACAAACTGAGAGGTGAAGGAAGGCCGCGGTCCTTGGTGAAGGAGGCCGCGGTCCTTTCACCCGTCGTTCTGGCCACAAACGGAAAGGTGCAGGAAGGCCGCGGTCCTTTCACCCGTCAATTTTGGCCACAAATCGAAGTGAAGGAAGGCCGCGGTCCTTTCACCTTTCGGTTTTGAAGTGAAGGAAGGCCGTGGTCCTTTCACCCTTCGGTTTTGCCCACAAGCCGAGACGTGAAGGAAGGCCGCGGTCCTTTCATCCCTCGGTTTTGGCCACAAACGGAGAGGTAATGCAAGGCCGCGGTCTTTTCACCCATTGGTTTTGGCGACAAACCGAGAGGTGAAAGAAGGCCGCGGTCCATTCACACAAAGCGAGAGGTGAAGGCAGGCCGCGGTCCTTTCACCCCTCGGTTTTGGCTAGAAACCGAGAGTCCTTTCACCCTTCGGTTTTGGCTGCAAACCTAGCGGTGAAGGAAGGCCGCGGTCCTTTCACCTCTCGGTTTGATTTGGCAACAAATCGAGAGGTGAAAGAAGGCCGCGGTCCTTTCACCCCTCGGCTTGTTGGGGCCACAAACCGAGAGGTGAAGGAAGGCCGCGGTCCTTTCACACAAACCGAGAGGTGAAGGAACGCCGCGGTCCTTTCACCCCTCAACTTTGGCCACAAATCGAGAGGTGAAGGAAGGCCGCAGTCCTTTCACCCCTCGGTTTTGGCTACAAACGGAGAGGTGAAGGAAGGCCGCAGTCCTTTCACCCGTCGTTTTGGCAACAACCGGAGAGGTGAAGGAAGGCCGCGGTCTTTTCAGCGTTCGGTTTTGGCCACAAACGGAGAGGTGAAGGAAGGCCGCTGTCCTTTCACCCCTCGGTTTTGGCCACAAACCGAAAGGTGAAGGAAGGCCCCGGTCCTGTCACCCCTCGGTTTAGGCACAAACCGAGTGAAGCAAGGCCGCGGTCCTTTCACCTCTCGGTTTCGAGAGGTGAAAGAAGGCCGCGGTTCTTTGATCCCTCGGTTTTGGCCACAATCGGAGAGGTGCAGGAAGGTCGCGGTCCTTTCGGTCCTTTCATCCCTCGGTTTTTTTGCCACAAATCAAGAGGTGAAGGAAAGCCGTGGTCCTTTCACCCCTCGGTTTTGGCGACAAACCGAGAGGTGAAAGAAGGCCGCGGTCCTTTCACACAAACCGAGAGGTGAAGGAAGGCCACTGTCCTTTCACCCCTCGGTTTTGGCCACCAATCGAGAGATGAAGGAAGGCGCGGTCCTTTCACCCAGAGCTGAAGGCAGGCCGCGCTCTTTTTTCACCTTTCGGTTTGGCCACAAACCGAGAGGTGAAGGAAGGTCACAAACAGAGAGGTGAAGGAAGGCCACGCTCTTTTCACCCCCGGTTTCTCCCGCCAGTTTTTGGGTCATGGTTATGTGCAAAAATATTCAAAAAGCAAGATCCGTACATGCCTGACATCACAGGAGCCCGCTCGAGATGCCTTAAACGGGTTGTGGAGCAGTTTCCCGCGAGAGGCGATCGGCGAAGCGTTGAAGGCATCACCCTCCGGAGCAACAACATCGGCGATGAGGGTGGGAAGGCCCGGTGGGCTTCAAAGAGGTCAGTGCTGCTGCAGCCGGGTTGCTTTCCCGCGTAAGGCGATTGGCGAAGCGCTGAAGACCAACTCCACGCTCACCAGCATCAACCTCACATGGCAACCGTATCGTTGCGGTCAGGCACCTCCCATCCTCGAAACAGTAGTAGAAAGCCCTAAACCCTAAACGGCCCTAAACCCTAAACTCCAACCCCGAAGCGACTCCTCGAAAGAGGGTGAGGGTGCCTATCGAAGACTTGATTTGCAACGACAGCCCTGGGATCAGAGCTTCCGAAGGGACTCGGGGTCTTCGCACGCGATTTTTTGTTGCCTTGCACTTGCTACCATGGTTCTGAATGTCGTTATGCCTAGATGAGATTCACTGTGCGACGATCCCTAACTGACATGGAGGTAGGGCATGTAAAAGACGGGGTAAAAAGAGCAGATGCCTGAACCATAGCACATTCGGGAGCAGAGCGGAGGCCGAGGAAGCCTTTCCAGAATCTTGCATGGGGCCCAGAAGAGATTCAGGATAGGCTGCCGAATGCGTCAGTCCGTCCTCACCATGCTCCTGCCGCAGCACGGGGTCTGCAACTGTGGATGAGCCACTCCGTTCGCCACATTTATTGCTCCCTGCTGTGCCGAATTAACGGGTCTCGGGAACCAATACCTCCGGCAGGGTCATCGTATTTCTTGGAATTGGAGCTGCGAGCCCAAGCACATACGCGACGGCCGGCCAGGAAGAGCCCCTTGAACGAAACCCTTACTAAGGAGCCCCCCTAAAGGAGACCCCTTAAAGGAGCTCCCTTAAAGGAGCTCTTGACGGAGTCTGAATAAAAGGGCGAAGATGTTGGGCTTGAAGCGGATCAGAGCTTTGGGAGGCGGACTCTTCGGACTTGTAGAAGGAGGCTTGAAGAGGGGGCATTTCCTGAAGGTATAGTTGAGGTTTGGAGGTGGGATTTTTGGGGGAATTTGGGTTTGCACCCCATGAGCCAAGAGGCGATTCAAAGGTGGATTCGCTCTGCCCCGGCGAAGAGCCATCATACAGTATGTGCGGAGCCTCAAAAACTTGCGAAGATCTAGGTGGTAGTATAGGGGACTTCCGAATCAGGTGCCGAATGTCTTGCCTCAGTCCGTCCTCAGCTAGCTTCTGCCGCAGCAGGGGGGGGCTGCCTCTGTAGAGCCCAAATGAACCGCTACGAAAACGGGTTGTAATTTTAGGATATGAATATTTCTATTTTCTCCTTGCCTTTCAGATGTTGTTTGAGGCAACATGCAGCATTTGCCAGACATTTTGCCCCCAGCTTGGCCGAATTCAATCGCATCCCTCGGAATTGGCTGGACGCCGAGAGCTGACGTGAGTGGGATTGAAGGTTCTCGGAGATGGAAAAACACCTACATAGACTTTGGAAAGACGATGCCTGGACCATGCAAGAATCAAACGGCCTGACAAAGACACATGATTCGTGCAATGCATAGGACTCCACGCATGTATTGGCACTGAAAACCAACGTTTTGTTAAAAGCGTGCGACTGACCATCCGGAACAGTGATAAACCTAAGTCTGCCTCTCCATGGCTTTAGGGTGTAGGGTACGCTTGGATGGTGGATAATTGTGCTTGATGCGAAGTTCGACATGCTGATTCAATCAGCAACGGACCGATCGTCTTTTCTAGACCTAGGGTCTTTTCTATACAATTGGTTGAAAGGCTTGGCAGCCTGCCTTCCTAGACAAACCTGCATTAAAAATGCATGTTCGTGAATCCTTTCCTGGAAACCCTAAACCCTAAACCATAAACCCTAAACTAAACCTTACACTAAGGGAAAGATTCCCGGAGATCCCACACCAGCGGCTCTAGAGCAAGCAACGTTGGTACGGTAACAAGCAGGTTTGACGTGCTACTAATGTAGGGGACTAAATAATTACCAACACTGTTTTGGGGGTTCCCTATTATGACTATAGTATAATGGGACCCAAAACCCTATTCTAATTCTTAAGGCCCCTATAGTAGCAGATGCTGCCAGCTTACAAAAAGGTCTGTCCTTTGATGTGGGGCATTGAGAGTGACATTCCATCCATCAGCTTGAACGAACTTGTCTTGCTGGTTTGAGACAGCATGGCCACCGCAGCTTTTTGCAATCAAGAGCTTATGAAAGCTCAGCCATGCTCAAAGTTCCCCTACGGACAGCCGCGCCATTCTGTAAGCTTCACCCTCCAAGGGTGACGATGACCAGCGTGGAGGCCTTTCCCTTCATGGTGGTGCTAAGAACGAAGTGACATCAAATTCACGCCGCTTTGATTTGGCAAGCAAACCTAAACCCTAAACCCTAAACCCGGCAGGGTTGAGTGTTTGTTGCATACGGATGCACGTTGTATGCTTTTGGACTCAGAAGGTCACATGTGCGGGGTTGAAAGCTGCAGTACTGCACTGCTGTAGAGGCATCGTTGCGTGGCACGGAGGATATCCACGAGGGCCTCTGTGTGGCTCTTCGTGAACACGGCCTGCAGGATCTGGGTGTACCTGCTGTCGCGCAGGCAATTGTCCGCGAAGTCTGCCCAAACGGGCTGATCCTTGTGGACATACTGGGCTTTGAGGAAGTAAGGCAGGCACACGTGAACGCAGGCTGCTTGCAGCGCCAGGCGGGACAGTTCCAACACCTGGTTGACACTCTGTGCAAGACGGTGCGGTTTGTGCTCGGTTCGGTTCCTGGACGGTTTTGCTCCTACGGTTCGGGTTCCCGGTTCATGGCTCATGGCCAGAGGCATGCTGCATGTGGATTGAACTTCGAGCTTATTTTTTTGTCTACGTAGCCCCAGGGCTTTTGTATCGAAGTGCTGCGTCTGTCTTTCTCTGTCTACCTGTCTGTATCTGCCTGTATGTGCCTGTATCTGCCTGTCTGTCTGGGTGTCTGCCTGTCTGTCTGTCTGTGTCTGTCTGTGTCGATTTGTCTGTCTGTCCGTCTGCCTGTACGTCGTGCGTCTGTCTGCTTGTCTCTGGGTCTGTATTTATGTTTGTTTTTGTTTCGTTCGTTCGTGGGAGGGGAGAAAAAGGGGGCTTCAAAAGGAGTGCATAGCTTTCGTTTCAAGTTGATGCGTATTGTGTGCTGATTGAACTCAGATCAGATGCAGGAGGTGTTGAAAGCTGCAGTGCTGCATTGCTGTAGAGTTCAGCTTCGAGGATTACGGCAGTTTGCCTTCCGACCCTTGAGGTGGTGCCTGCGGAGGGCACAAGAGAAGGTGAGCAACAAGCATGGGATGAACACAATAAGCCAGCGTGGAGGCGGGCTGTGTCTCGCATGCCGGCGCTGCTGGTCACTCTCGTCATCGAACTCTTTGTGGCCCTTATCGTGACTGAGTACACGGACCGGACTCAAAACCCACCCTTGCTTCTGCGTTCCTTTAAAGGCAACTAGAGATGAAAGTTGGAAAAGGCTAATATCGCACTGCCCAGCGCATCGGACAAGCCTAAAATGCTTTGCCGCATTCTCAAGAAGCCTTTACAATTCTAGCCTCCAACAATACACTCTGGATATGACACCTAGACTCTGAACCTCCCATTAACACCCAAACAAGGTCCCCGAAGGACAGGTCAGCAATTGCGATGTCCGCACGAGATAAGACCGCTCTTGAGAAAGATTCCAGCGTTTCCGACCTTGCCAAACCCCACACCCACCCAGTGGCGTCCAAACAAGGTACCTGGAACGAAAGCCCTCGCAGACGGTGAGAATGCGACTTAGGGGCCTCGCAAAACGTCGCAAAATGCATCCCAGCCCACGCAAGCAAAGCCTGCGAAACTGCAATGTTCTGTGCAGCCACCAGGAACTTGTTTGGATGTCACTGGGAGGCGAAGTCGTCAAATGCGTTTTGGGAAGGTGAGGCAACGCATTTTGGGCTGGGCACCCTTCGGAGACTCGTTTGGACGTCGCAAAGAGGTCTGGGTCTTGGCAAGATCGGAAGTGCAGAATGAAATAGGTAAGGTAGGGCTGTTCCAAAAGAAGCCGAAATGTCAAAGAGAGGCGTGAAATCCGTAGGTTGTGCGTAGGCTTACCCCCAGGCAGCACCTTCCTTGCTCGTGCAAAAAATGGCCCCCGGGCTGAGATTTTCCTCTTGGTTGGCGGAAGTAGCCGTAGGTTTTGTTAAGTCCTGGATCGCCACATTCATGCAAGACATGAAATTCAACAGAAAGAACTCCCAGCCGTGTAGCCGAAAATCAGCTGGCGGTTAGGCGCTGCGTTTTTTGCGAGGGCAGAGAGAGGTGTGGAGGCATTGGAAAGTATTCTGGTTCTCGTTAGGGGATTTTGTTTAAGTTTAAGTTGCCATAATGGGGATCTATAGAAAATAATCAGGTTTCCTTATTATGGGTAACATAAATTAAATCCCCTAACAAGAACCCAGTATTGGGGATTTTTGTGGCTTGGGGCCTGGGTTGCGACTTCCCCCTCAGGTCCTGGTTGTCAAAATGACGACGATGTTATACTTCTTATCACATCTCTTACTTATATGGAGATATAAGTCAGAGGTTCGTGGAGTGTCCGACATTTACAGCAACTCCAGGACACCTTCAAGAAGTACACGTTACTCATCGCCTTCCAGCCGGTGATCAGCGCTCTTTCTGGAAACGTTGGGCTTCAGACCATGGCTACCATCACCCGTGGCCTGGTGATTGGGATTTTCAATGGCCGAGAGACGCTGCGCGGCATGCGGCATGAAGTGAAATCTGGCATGGTGGTCGCGGCCCTACTGAGCACGGTGGTTGCAGCAGTCGCGTTTGCCTGGTACAATCCGTTTTCAAGTGGCCATTCTTTCCTGGGCACGTTGGCCTTTGGTTTTGCCATTTTTCTGGGGCAGTTTGCATCAAGTATCTCGGCTAGTGTCACGGGCAGTTTGGCTCCCCTGCTTTTCAACAAGCGTGGCTGGGATCCAGCTGCACTGGGCGGGCCGCTTGAGACCGCCTTCCAGGATGTGATTGGCAGCTCCGTGATGCTGGCTGCGTCTGCAGCGGTCCTCGCGCAGTTTGGAGATCATGCAGAATCCTGTCCCGGAGGGGACGTGAAACGCTGTGCTTCGCTTTGCAAGGAGGGGCCCAGCTATAACGAGCAGTGCTTGCAGCACTGCTTGGACCTTGCATTGAAGGGTGTTTGCTGACGGAGCCGGGAGCCCAAGTTCCTCACCAGGCGGATCTGCACACCTCGCGGATAAGGCCCCCACCGTAGTTCCTTTCTGTGGCTCATATTTAGGATCCTATAAGGTAGTCCCTACAACCCTAAACCCTAAACCCTAAACCCAAAAAGGAACTACTATGAAGCCTGTGTACAGTTCACCAATTTTGACCCCGATCCTGGGTTCGCTTCGGGAAAGAGCCGCGACTCGGCCTCCGGCTCTTCCTTTTTGTCGTCGCCCAGCGACCGGGGGGCCCAGGAGTTCCTGGTGAGGCTTCCTTCTGGAGGCTCCAGTGCAAGGTCATAAGCCCTTTTTTTTAGTTTATCACAACTCCATGGCCCCCCAGTAGTGAATTAGTCCATCGGTGCTGTCCAGACGCAACAAAAGCAAGTCGTGTGCTGGCACAGTTGCTGACTCAACGCACTAGTGGAAATAGCTGTGATCATGCTTTCCACCGGCAGCTTGCATCGCGGAAGTCCCCAAAGATGTCTTGGTCTACGTCGTCATGCTTGAATGATCCGAGGCTTCTTGTAGTTTGCACATCATGCCTTTGACCTTTCATCACCTTCAGCTTGTAGACGGTCGTCCAGTTCAGACTTCCTGCCGCATGTTCCGGGTATTTGGCTCAAGGGAGAAGCCCGTTGTCGACCATGCAATGGTGGTAGCTTCCTTATGCAAGAATAATATATACATAAATAAATAAACATATAGATAGATAGATAGATAGATAGATAGATAGATAGATAATATATATATATATACATACATACACATATCCAGTACAGCAAACAGCGTCTTTCTTGCAGTGGTGGAATTATCTTGACATGCCTTCAAATCTCTACCGGTGATTGTTACGTTACTCCTTCTCTCTTCCTGTCGGGTCATTTCTGAGCTCGCATTATCTCTTGTGATGATCTTCGCTTACCTCCAGCTCTGCTGCCTGCGACCCAGAAAGGACGCGCCCGTGGCGCCCTTTGGAGGTTTCAATTCCTAGGAGGGCCGAAGCCCCTCACGAGGAGACAGGTCGAGGATGTGCCAGCACAAGGACGCCTCAGCCTTCATCTTCGAGCTATGGTAGATCACATACCAGAGTCTGAGATCTCTGCACTTGCACCGGAGGATGGCGGCACAGGGAGTCAGCAGTTGCAGGACTTGGAGTTCAATGACTTTGAGAGGCAAAATTTTCCGAGTGGCGTCGAGGTGACGTGAGGGATGCGCAGGTGGAGGCCAGACTGCGGCTCAGGTTGACGAAGATGGCTTGCTGGGGGCCGTGCTGGTTGAAGCGCCACCTGCTCCGGGAGCTTGTCCTGTCGGTGATTTGATCTGCCTTGGGAATGCTACGGATTCTCCTGACGTGCCTGTTGGTGTGGAAACTGGACATTCCGGGGCGTGTTGTCGCTGGCTGTGCTGCTGGATATCCTCTTGATCGTCCGGGTGAGGATGCAGATGATTGCAAAGGAGCTGGTGACGATGAGGTGTCTCATGGTCAGCTTGGGGATGTTCGTCCACCAAAGGAGGGTGTGATGGTTCCGGAAGTTGCCGCGGGAGATCGTTCAAGTGCTACGGGGTCAGGGATTGCGACTGCCTCCACACAACTGGATCCGCCAAATGCTTCACCTGGACCTCGTGAGATGTGAGTACAGTGTGCGGCAGAGGGTTCATCTACTGAGGGCAAGCGGGTAAGGTACACACGTCTCGTCTGAAACAGACATTCCTTAAGACCTAAAGCTGACGGAAAATGACGGAAAAAGGCGTTCAAAAACGAATTAAACCCAAGGTTGCATGGATCAATGTTCCGCAGGTCCATGTCTCAGTGAGTCTGGGACTACTGTAATGACTGATCTGAGAACCCGTACGCGCATCGCCAATTTGGGGAGCCATCAGGCTCAAGACCTCAAGCCCTGAACCCCGAGAATCACCAAACTCCCGCGCTTCGAAGGCTGCAACCGCGGCTCCGAACCCTTCAGCCACAACCCTTCCGGCCCAGACCTAAACACGAAACCCCGTTAACCCCGCTCTTGATGGAGCTGACCCGCTACCGTCGCTTTGGCGAGGTAGTCTTGGTCTGTGCAGGGCTTTTGGTTGCCTTGAGCTTCCATGGAGGCTTGCGCTCCTCTCTTGGGACCCTTCTGGGTCGGAACAGGGCCTTCGACCAACGAGGTTGGGTTGAAAAACTTGAACCTTCAACCCTTCGCCCCTAAACCCCTAAACCCCTAAATCCCTTAACCCTAAACCCACAAGGCAATGGGACGCTGGAATTCGGACCAAAGAGCGCCCCAAGAGCAGAGAGGCCAGTGGCCTCAAGCCACAAAGCCGCCGCGCTTTGGAACGGAACGGTGGCGTCGCAGCCAAAGCAAGAGCAATCAAGGAACTTCTTGCAGCGGAAAGGCAACGAAAGCCTCAACATGACCGAGGCTCCCTTTGCTGGAGAGAACGAGAACAGATCCCGTCTCAAGCATCTGTCTTCCCAGCTCCGGAGCTTCTTGGCGCCCATCTTGAACGCAGAGAGGGGCCGTTGGCTGGAGCTTCGTGGCCACTGGATCTGGCAGGATTCGACTTTGAGGACGCTGGGTTCTGGTTAAGGAAGTCAATTTAGGTACCACAGTAGGGATCTATGGTAAATCAAAGGTTCTCCTTATTCTGGCAGCTTAAGCGAAATTCCGTAACAATAACCCAGGATGTGGAACAGCTCTCGCAAGCGCCTGCGCTGGGAAAGTGGGAGTGGAATGCCACCGACGGTTTGGTATGGCAGCTCCTTTTTGCGGGAGCTGTACTTGGAGCAGGACGGCGGTTTATGAGGGTCGAATATGATAAGGATGCAAACAAGGCCTTTTTGCTGTCAGATGCTTCAGTGCATGATTAAAGCAATGTCTCTGAGATTGTATGCGAGGATATAAGTCTGCAAGGCCTTAAACCACCTCAAATGCCTCATTCGTAAGCTAGCCCCGACTTTGAACCCTCCTTCCCGCAGCCCACATCCCGCAGCCGACCTCCCAGTTACATTCACCCCAGACTCCAGACAATCCTAAGCCCCAAAGAGTCCGAAAAATCCCCCAAGAAACTAGGCCCCAAGTCGCCCAAATCGCCACTGCCGAACTCCAAGTTCCCCTCCCAACAGCTCCAGATATCGAAGCGACTCGAACTCGATGATGGCATCACGATTGCTAGGACTAGTTATTCTTTGACCACATCTTCTTACTGTAGTATTTTCCTCTTCTTATTATCATCGCGATGGTTACTCTTGTTATCGTTGTTCGACTTCTTCGTATCCGAAACATTGTTATGAGGAAGAAGAAGAATATTAGCATGCAGCATGCTTATGATATCGTCGTTATCATCTCTGTTATTATTCGTCTTATTCTTCTTGTTAGTGCTTTTGTATTTTCTTTTTGTTGTCATTACTACGGTTACTATTAGAGTTATGACTACTACTATGATTATTGCTAAAATTGTCATTATTGTTATTACGATTATGATGATGGTTATTTTGCTATCATTGTTGTTACTGTTATTGTTATTCCTGTTAGTAATACTGGTATTCTTCTTCTTTTTTGCTACTATTGTTGTTCTGGTTATTGTTGCTATGTTTTGTTATTGCTACCCAGTTGCTCGTATGATTATTGTTCTTTAATGCGGTTACGACAATGATGATGACGATGGGGATGGTAATGATGATGATTGGCGTAATTCGTATTGTTATTAAACCCTAAACCCTAAACCCCTAAACCCCTTAACCCTAAACCCTAACCTAAACGCTAAGCCTTAAACTTTAAACCCTAAACCCTAAACCTTATTCCCGAAACCCTAGACCCTAAACCTTAAACCCTAAACCCTAAACCCTAACCTAAACCCTAAACCCTAAACCCTAAACCTTAAACCCCAAACCTTAGACCTAGCATCGTTACTACGGCAAAGGAGCGGCTGCACCACGGCATTAGCAGCCGAGCTGAGTGCGACCTGCCGCCGGAAGCAAAGCCTAGGCCGGCCAGCTGACGCCGGTATCCGTAAGGTAGCCGTAGGGTTTAGAGTTTAGGGTTTAGGGTTTTAGGGTTTAGGGATTTCGAGTTTAGGGTTTAGGGTTTAGGGGGCGGATTAGGATTTAGGATTTGGGATTTACGGTCTAGGGCATAGGGTATAATGTTCATATCATAATTCTAGCTCGGTTTGTAGCTTGTATCATCGGTCTTTTGGTATTTGGCGTAGAGTTTTGGGGGTCTTGTTTTCTTCATCTCTTCGGCAGGTCGGGGTTCCGGCTTCTAGGATCCGAGTTTGGGGTGGGTGGGGCAGAGTTTAAGGCCCTAAACCCTAAACCCTAAACCTTAAACCCTAGACCCTAAACCTTAAACCCTAGACCCTAAACCCTAAACCCTAAACGCTAAACCCTGAACTGGCGGTAAGCATCGGGCCGGGAGTCGGGTCGGAGCTTCAGGTTGAAACTTTAGGCATCTTGGGGTTGAACCTTCAGGGTTTGGGGGCTCTGGGAACTTGGGGATCTTCGGGATCTTAGGCCGTGAGGTGTAGGTTTCCGGGCTTCCTGGTCACGCTTTCTAGCTTCCCCCTAGAGCCTTGAACCCCGAACCCCTCAACCCGAAAGTCCCTAAACTTTCGAAGTTCTCGACCTTCGAGCTTGGGGGGAGTGCGGAGTGCTTAGGGGTTTAGGGTTCTTTGAAACGGCTTAGGGTTTACGGGTTAGGGTTCAGGGCTGTTCTGAGTCTGAGGCCGAGATTTGCGATTCAGTGTCTGAGCCCCTTAAACCCTCAACCCTGAGCCCTAAA